ATAATATAAGTACAAAAAATAGACTTGCATCAATTCATGAACACATTTTTCTTTTTAATTCGTTTATTTGACGTTATACGAATAAAATGTGTCACGTAAATTGAGATGGATAAAATATTAATTTAAGGTTAATTAAAGTTGCAGAGGTGGAATGTCAGAGGAAAAGAGAAGGCGACTTCTCCCCAAATTTTGGCCTGCTACAGCCGCTCTGTTTTAATCTCTCTGGTTTATCTGGATCTTTTGCCACGTGTCCATCCTAAATAATTGTTGACTAAATTGGACGATTTAACCCCCTTAATGTTTCAACTACTACTAAAAATTGTTCTATTTACTCACTTTTAATTAATTACTTAATTTATTTGATTAAATGTAATGTCTTAAAGCTTCTTCTTTTTTTTTCAATTCATCTCTGTTTTTTTTTCGAATTTACCTTTAGTGCTATGTTATTTTAATGAAGCATAGTAGATGAAAGATAATCTTTGATAGTGTTTTGCGTTGGAATTCGTGTCCAATTTTCTTAATAATATGACACACCTTAAAAGGGGTAGCAAAGTAATTTAATGGACTGATGAACAACTTGTCTTTTTTTAAAAAAGAAAAATTTGAGTTAAAATATTACATGTCATGATAAAATAGAGTATGTAATGGTTTGAAGTAGCTTCTAAGTTTGTCTTGCATTTGCATGTCCATCTTGACCTCTTAACCTTCGGTAGTTGTGACGCAACTCCATTTCCTATCCAATTTAACTTCTTTTAAAGTCTTAAAATCTGAGGTATCAGCGGATTCATTTGAATTTACTTCGATAAATTTTTTTTATATATGATTAAAATTATTTTAATATATATATATACTGTAGTTTTTAAACTTTATCGACTTCTTTATATATTTACTCCTTCATATTTTGAAACTCCTGATAAATAAATTGAGCATATAGTACTATTTGTGCTGATAAACATAAACGAGACTTGAAACAATAAAGAGTGATCATTACAAACTTTACATTAAATGTATGATATAATGTTGCTTTGTCACAAACAATATAATTCTTTGCTCATTACGAACTAATAATATAAAGTACTAGACTTTGGCTTATAATTTTCACTTGCTACTTGTGAATTTTTGTTATTAATTAATCACCATGGGCATTTAATGAAATACAATATATATAATATCTCACATGAAAGCCAACATCTAATTAACATTGTGCAGTACTAGTACAAAATCATGTCTCGTGAATAAATTAATTAAAGAAAAAGCATATTACTATGTTATTCCTCTAGAGTTGGTGAAATTAATTAACACCCCACGGGGACCAATAATTATTACATAAAAGTGAGGTATAATTAAAATATATATTACTCCTAAAGGTTAATTAAGCTTCGCTGTAATATATAATTATTGCTAAAACCGAGTTAATTTAAAATGTCATGATAATGGTGGTTAGTGAGTTTAATTAGCTGTGCACGGGTTGGACTGATAGGCATCCTATGATAAATTTTATTTAATTAATCAAAAAGCATGATTCCCCCATCTAGTGGGAATAAATTAATAATGATGACATGTTATATCATTTTATAAAGTTCAATAAGAAAGGGTTAATTTGTTTTGCTATATTCCATTAATGGTTCTCAAAAGTTGATCAATTAGTACATCTTAAAAGTAAAAAATAATGGAAAAAAGGAAAATAAAATATTCTTTATTTTGATTATCATTATTTCCTTTTTATCAATTCATCTTACCTAGTTTCATTTTAACAATAATAATAAACATCTCTCAATTTTAAATAAGTTAAAATCAGTTATAAACATTCTACCTATAATAGCCGTGACATTCATTATACAAGTATATTGTAAAATTTCCAAGTCTAAATTATGAAAAAAAAATTCTTTTATCAAGTTCATTTTCCACACCAACACTTTTTATGTTGCTGATTGGGGTATATATGACACTTTTTTTTCATTTTGATACATCAGAAAATACAATATCTGATATTATTGCCTGAACAATGTTCGTTTACACGTCTTATAAGCTTCAATAATTTAGACTAATCTTTCTATATATCTACCCTAGCTTACTTTCAATCTAATTTTATTTTTCTTTAAAAAAAAAATTCCTTCTACCACGACAATATATATATAACTTATGCATCAAAGTTCACACATGCATGCATCATGCATGTACCGCATTTAACAAATGGCAACATACCGACATGGGTTGTGGCACAGTGATGGGACTACTGCACCTTTAACTAGAGGTCTCAGGTTCGAGCCATGGAGAAAATCTTGTTGGGAGCACCACCCCTGAATGAACTCTGCAGTGCGCCCCTGAATGAACTCTGCAGTGCGCGATCCAAATTTAGTCAGGGCTCCAATATGAGGAGAAAAAAAAAAGGCAACATGAAGGTCATATCAAAGATATACTAGCTAATTGTGATGTTTTAATTTAAATAAATTTGCATGGATTTCAATCTTCAAGTCACAGTCTTCAGAATATATTTTAGGGTAGAATAGATAATAAGGAAATGTGTGCAATTTCTTAAGCAAATGTAATTGGTACATTCTTTCTCCATTGAACGATTAAATTTAGACGTAAGAATTAAAAACATGTTTTTTCTTAAGATCGATTGATAGTCAACGTAAAATTTGTTAATTCATGATGAATCTTCGTAATAAAGATTCGTAAAGGGTTGAAAAGTTTAAAGAGTACAATATGCTTAATTCTTGAAAAAGTCTACTAATTTTTCATTATGCAGTTTCTTAAAGCAATCTAAAATGGTATTACTTAAAGTAATCTGGCGTAAATTACTCGAATGGTGTTACACGAGTCTCTTTGAGTCAAATAAACCCACACATACGTATTTATATATGAGTTCAATTAATATATTGTAATAGTATATATATTAAAAAAACTACATTTTCAAGTCACTTTTTTTAAAAAAAAATCTAAATAACTTTTATAGCATGCATAAATTAAATGGGCAACCATGTGCACTGCTATTTTGCAGGATCCGAAAGAATTGAATCATAAGGATCTATTCTCGCATATAATTGATTTCTTTTTGTTTGGTATAATGGGGGTATAGGCATAATAAACAAAAAGAATTTTATTATTTTAGATTGGTAAGTAAATAATTAGAAAAAACCAAAAGGAACAAATGATAAATGAGTTTAATTAAGTTAGATTATAGGAAATAATCCATTATTAGGCCCCGCCACTCTAAACTGCAATCGAGTTGGGCTGTAAGGATAATGCCGGACTCCTCTAGTCTCCATCCAACTTTACACATTGTGACAGCTCACCAGCCCTCATTTTTTTCTTTTTCAATCGAGTATTTAATATTTACATTAAAGTTCGATTAAATTCAAACTCGTTGATTAAAGATGAAGGAGTACTTACTATTCCACCATAACTTTGTTGGTCACCCGTCATCATCTACCATGCTATTCAAACATAACCTACATTCTAATAAACAACTTGGATAATTGTTACGTATCGTTTTATAATGATTGTATTATTGTATTATATATTTTGATGAATGTAATCTTCAGATAAATTGTATCATTTTATGTTATTACACGATGGCATACATCAACAATCTAAAGGAAAAATCTGAAGAAAAGTAGAATATTGATAGAGCTAGCTATAATTAAAGAAGGTCGGATAAAAGATAAATTAGAATTATAAACTAATTACAAGCAAAAGCAAAATGAGAGATAAAATAATGTAACGAGTGATCATGCTCAATCATTCGTCACATGAGATTTTTTTATATCGCTACATAACGATAAATTTAATGATACAATAAATTAAATTAAATTTAAATAACAAACAAAATATATAAATATTTTATTATACAATATAATATACAATAGGTAACAACTATCCATATACACAAAGCTGATTTCTTGACCTTGAAAGATACAGATATATTTCTCACTTGGATATATGCTTTGTTTTACTTTTTGTTTGTGAGAAACTAGTTGAACATTGGAATTTTCTCTTCTTCACATAAAAGTACATAAACGAATTAAAATATTAGAAGTGCATTCTGTGTAAATTTTTGACAGATGAACAATCTCCTTTCCCGGCCCTAAACTTTGAATTTATTGCATTTTTCCTTACTCATATGGGCTCTCGCTTGAATCTAAACTTTATATCGTTACTTTATCTCACACAGCTTATTACTATCGATTTTACCAGGCAACATCTACCTACTCATGCTCTGAGGCTATTGTGTGCAAGACCATTTTATTGAGCATACCGGAAAACTATCAATCTAAAAGAATTACTAGTTTGATCATTTGTGGACATAACAGCAAAATAAAAATAATAGCGGAAAACTATCAACGTAAAATAATTGAATTACTAGTTTGATAATGGACATTACAGCAAAATAAAATAACATTAAAAGAATTACTAGTTTGATAATGGACATTACAGCAAAATAAAAATAAAACTAAAAATTGACAGCTGTGGGATTTGAACCCACGCCCTTTCGGACCAGAGCCTAAATCTGGCGCCTTAGACCACTCGGCCAAACTGTCTTTGTTGTATACTTTTCTTAAAAGATAGTATATTATTAAAAAAAAGTATTTTAAGTATGCAATTTACTGATAAACATGATTCTAATTACCCAAGTTCAAGATTTGTAGTATTTGGAGAACCAGATTTACTAAACTAATAACTAAGATTTACACATTCAAAAACTACATAGAAATAAATTATAAGCACAATTATTTATATTTAAAAGGTATAACAAAAGTGTTAATAAGATTCCAAAGAAATAACAATGATCCAATTCTTTTGGGGACAAGGGAATAACAGAATGATAATTTATAACATCGATTTTCCATTTACTATACTTAAGTAACTAAAATTAGAAAAACAAATAATGTCTTATATTTAAGCCGAGAATCTATCGAAAACAATATAGAATTACACGAAGTATGTTATTGTGATAGTAGTATTACCATCACGGCATTAGAAAAAGAACAAAAGTGTGAATTGCAAACACAATTTTTCATTGAACAAACAGGATTCTCCTTGTAAAATCCTGATCCAAGTTTCAAGCAAAAACAAATGTCGAAATATTCAAACAGTGGCTTAGTAACTTAGTTTACAACAATAACATTACTAATACTGAGAAGTGAGAACTTAAGAAAAAATATGATACACTTCACATTGGGATTGGGGTCCTGGGGATAATTTTGGTCACCCAAGATAACATAATAAGATACATATTCTGGAATTTGCTATGCCTCAGCAGAATCTGATCTGTTGCAATTAGGCAAGCACTGCGACAAGTTAAAATTCCGAGAGGGCTGGTAGGATTGGAAAAAATCAGGATCCTGCTCAAGCGCCTCCGCATAACTTTCAAGAACAGTTACAATCTCCTCAAACTGTGGCCTCTTGTGAGGATTGTTTGCCCAGCACTGTTTAATGAGTTTCCGAACTGCTGATGGACATGCAGCAGGTATTGGTGGTCTTGCTTTCTGCAAAATTCCAACCAATATGAGAAAATGCCAAAATTTCTCTCTTACAGAGAATGATGCATGATACTGCAAAAAATATTTAAGCAAAATTATTTGTTCTAATGCAACTTTATGCAAGAGAAGCAACTTCCTACACTAATTTTCCCAATACAATGTATGTGGAGAATCTATAAATGGGCTTATAGCTAAGTTGAAACTTAAAACAATAATCTGGAAGCAGAACAAAGGCATAAAACCAATTCACGATTAACCAGCAAAGCAAAGATCACAGCGTCAACAATTTCCAACGTGCATGAGAAACCCTCGAGGAGGAACAAGAGCAGATGTCCTATGAATTGGACAGTCAAAAGATAACAGAACACATGTAAAATATGGAGTCACGTTCACTCCGTCTCCATATCCTTTAGAGCGGGGTGTTTGAAAGACCAATATATAGTCCCACAGCATTTCAAATTAACATTGTTTGAGCATAAAAATAGAAGAAATATCCAGAGACCAACAGACCGAGATAGTCACTTAACGGGTTGCAATTTTATTAGTAGAGTGCATTGAGCAGCAGCATCAATGCTCGGAACATTAAGTGTCACACCTCAAGTTTACTTTGGAACGTATACCCGAGAAATCTGATAGATTGGCAGGTGATACAGAATACAGGCAGAACAGACTTTATCTAATCCTCCACCACAGGCTACAATGGCTTTTACTTTTACATTTGTCTTTTAAACTAATACTTGTTCCAGATACTCAAGTATACCTCTCTATATCTCTTTCCAAAGGAAACAAAACAATCATGGGCCTCATTGTTCTTATAGAAACAGAAACTTCTGCCAGTTAGAAGAGTTCCCAATGGTAAAGTATACAGTAGTAGATTATTCAACAAGTTTTCTAAAGGAGTGATGTTAAAGGAGACAATGTTGATTTGCTCAAAATATCCCTGGGAGAGGATAGAGATGTCGATGATCAAGAAGGCGAGAAAGCAAAAAAGATGAGAAGAATAGAACAACATTAACACAATGCCAACATATTAAATAGATCACTTTTGACGAAGAAAGGAATCAAGAGGCTCATCAATTCCAATAGCTATTCACTTGTTGGAAACACTATCCAAGTTTTAGAGCCAAACATGTCTGGAAAAAAACACGATGATCCTAACATAAGAAGGAAAGAAACAAAAGAAAGTAGATAGACTGATCCTATTGAAGAGATTCATTTTTAGAGATTGACATAAGATTTAACAAGAGACCGACAGCCCAGATATGAGAGAACTTCAAAAAACATAATCACAAGATGAAGCAATTTGCACGCTAAGATATTTCACGCTGCAATTTTTTTTTACAAGTATTTCAAGGGTTATTTCATAGCATAGACGTAGATTTTCTCAATCTTTTGATATGCAATGGTAAATGCAACTCAACAATATCTCTTCTTTTTGCATCTTAATTGTCTTTCTCAAGTCATCTTCCAAGCCAGAGAGAGAACATTGACTTACTGAAGTGAGTCTCATGGTAACCTCGGTATATATCTAAAGGAAAACCACCGAAACAAGAATAACAAATGTAACATAAAATGACAATTCGGAATGAGTACGTCAAACATATAGAGATTCATGGGATTTAGCGGAACAAATTCAGATCCAGAGACATTTGAAATAGTAGGCTATTTATCTTGACGAAGACCAATATGCCATGGTGGACAGAGAATATACCTTCTGGCAGACTGCAAAGGCCGCCTGCTCGGGGGTCATGTCATCAAATGGTGTCAATGCAGTCAAAAGTTCCCATAGGACAATACCGAAACTATACACATCAACCTTCTTTGTGTGGTTCTTTTCCTTGATCATTTCTGGCGCCATCCACCGGTATGTACCGGTGAACCCCTTTGCACTACCACATTGAGATTCTAAACACGATATCCCGAAATCTGCAACTTTCACACACATATCCTCATCAAGGAGTAGATTTTCCGATTTCAGATCTCTGTGAAGTATCCCTTCAGCATGAAGATACTGCATCCCATGTGCAATGTCAAGGGCCAATTTCACAACAAGATTGAGAGGGACGGAGTACGGCTCCTGCTGATGGAGGTACTTTCTAAGGGAGCCTCCAGGTACGTACCCGGTGATAATGCAAAACACTGGTGGTTTCTTACATGCTGCAATAAACTGCATTTGAGAGCCAGAAGAAATGGAACAAGTCAAAACAAGTGGCAATTTCATGCATTACGGAAAGACATGTTTTCAGATGATAACTATTTACCAATAAGTAGTTATGATAAATCAAAATATGTCAACAAATCCCTAATCAACAGTATGTTAAGAAATTCTGATAGACGTATTTCAAAGATGGTACTCTAAACATGAAATTCCTGCAGGCAGCACAATCATATCTCTTTACAAATCAAGGATGAGGGAGCTGATCTGTAGATTTCAAGTTTGACATACTGGAAAAGGTAAATGCGTTAGGTTCTATGTCACTTGGATTCTTCAAAAAAAAGTCAGTTGTGTGTCAGATCCCCAAAAGTTGTTTATTTTTGGAGGATATGACATGGGTGTGGCAGCATTTTGGAGGATCCGAGAAACATAACTTAGGTTGTGGACAACAACTTGATCAGTTTATGGATTAGTCATGTACTTGGTGCTTTTATTGAACAAAAAACCGTGATAAATGCTTGCATCTTTTTATGCCAAATTGCCAACAATGGTATTGCGGCTACTTAAGAAACCATGTATGAAGTAGCAAATATGGAATCACTTGCCTTCTAATAAAAATATACCAATCAGTAAATATCTGTTCTTTTAAGTTCTTATTTTCCTGTTTGGTTCTGCTAGAAATAAATTTCCTAAATTATGAGTAGAAGCAACGTCACCTACGTAAAATAAGACTACATCTATGACAGTAGACATATGGACCTGCCAAAGAACATAAAATGAAATTTTTTAAATTTTTTTTTTATGACCGTGGTGTCTGGGCCAGCTCTCGCACATCTAGACTAATTCCACGGGATACCACCCACCTTTCACCAGCAATAGGTACAAGGTAACTCTGTCCACCAAGGCTACAATAGATGGAAAGAATCGCTTAGTGTTAATTTTCTCTACTGGGATTCAAACTTGAGACCTCATAGTTCTCAACTACTTCATTGACCACTAGGCCACCCCCCCTTGGGTGCATAAATCGATCATTTCTTGGCAAATGAAATAACATAGTATAGCCTTCCAGATGCCACCTTTAATTGAATTTCCATATTAGTTCCAGTATCCATTCCCCATTCATCTCCAAGATTTTTCCGTGGCTGATGGTCAGAGCTAGCCAACTTATTGTACTCTGACCCCTTTCATGCCTCGGCTCATCAGGAGCAATAGGGACTAGGGTGAATAACTCCTTGGGACTACTACTCAAATGCAGTTATGCAAGGATGTCTCGAGATCTCATTAAAATCAGTAAGGTGAAGAAAGCCATCTTAGGAATAACATAGATTTATTACCCTCGGCACCGTTGGCAATCTAATTGCAGTACTTGAGAAGGAAAAGTCCCTTCACATGAAATGCTAATAAAATCTCTGCTTTTACTACTTTGAAGCAGAGTTTTTCAAATTTAAATTATGAAAAACACAAATCAATGAAAAACCAACACTAAATAAGAAACCATACTTACAGTGATGATATTTGGATGCTTTAACCGAAGCAACAAAGCAACTTCAGAAGTAAACTGCTTCTCGAGAAAAGTAGCCAAATCTCCATCTTCTTCAGGTTGGCTAATAAGCTTAATAGCCACTTCCCCATGCTTGTAAATTCCCCTGTAAATTCTACTATGCCTTCCTGAAGCAAATTTGTTCCCAATATACAGCTGCGACATATCGGCACTCCATTCCTCCTCTCCTTCTCCCTTTATCGCCGCCCCTGATGATACTATATACTTGGACCATGACGCTGCTCGCTTGTACTCACCCAATGAAAGTCGCCTCTCTAATTTCCCATTATTCGCAATTTGCTTAAACCAATTGAAATTCTTCATAGTAAACCATCAAGTTCTCCGCCTCAAACCAGAAAAAAAACTCTTTGTATATAAAACACTCAACCGCCGTTACAGATTCTCCTAAATTTTAATAAATAAATTAAAAATAAGCTACATTCCAAAAAATAGAGTTACATTTTTAGTATGTGTCAGAATTTTCTAATTAGTAATTAACCAGCTGGGTAGTTTTTTTTTTCTCTTTCAAAAATCAACTGTACATTTGTTGGAATTGAAATTGAGATGAATAGTAAAGTAAGGAGTTCTACTTCTAAGAAAAGCTTGAAAGTAGAGCTTTCAGCGAAAAGTACAACAGTTTGAAGCGTGGAAAATGAGCTTAATTTTCTGTACTTTGAAGGCGTGAGTTGAGCAGGAAGCTGGAAAAAAGTGATAATGAGGAATGAGAAAGAGTTGGAGGTTGGTGAAGAGAGGAAGAGAGCGGCGGTGGAAGTGGCGGAGCGGCGAAGATTAACGGCGGAGGTGGTGGTGGAAATGCGGTGTTTTTTCTCTCTGTGTTGAGAATGAGAAAGCAAAAGCAGTGGGTAATACTAGAATACAAGAGCAGCAACATTCATAACGTGGGAAGATCCACTTCTGAGGAGACATTTCGGGTTTTCCTGATTGTGACCGCTAATATTCTTTTTCCCCATTTTACCCCTCACTATACATTTTATACCATCCGTCTCCCTTTCAAATGACAAAATAAATTAACTGAGAACTTTCTCTCCGTTTGTCGTTATTCCGTCTGTAATTTCCCCCATCGCGTGACAATATTATCTTTATAATATATATTTTTTTGGGAAAATTGTATATAATAGCAAACTATTAATTCAAATTAAATGATATAAATATAGTTTGATTTAATTGTACCTCATAGCAAACTATTGTTATTTCACCTCTCTCCTAGTGAATCTCGCTCGCCACTCTCATTCTCTCCCTCGCCTCTCTCGTTTTTTATACAAACGCAAATATATAAAATGCGTTTGTGTTTGTATAAAGCGAGAGAAAATTGTATATATACATATATTTTCGTTCCCCTCTCTCCCCTCTCCCAGATCTCGCTCGCCACTCTCCCAGATCTCGCTCTCTCACTCGCCTCTCTCACTTTATACAAAAACGCAAATGTATAAAATGCGTTTGTGTTTGTATAAAGCGAGAGAAAATTGTATATATACATATATTTTCGTTCCCCTCTCTCCCCTCTCCCAGATCTCGCTCGCCACTCTCCCAGATCTCTCTCTCTCACTCACCTCTCTCACTTTATACAAAAACGCAAATGTATAAAATGCGTGAAAATTGTATATATACATATATTTTCGTTCCTCTCTCTCCCCTCTCCCAGATCTCGCTCGCCACTCTCCCAAATCTCGCTCGCTCACTCGCCTCTCTCACTTTATACAATTGATCTTTTTGTATATGTATACCAAAGCAGATTATACAACTGCTTTCTTTTGTATATGTATAGCGAAATATACATATTTATGTTTGCTATGTAGCACAATTATGCAAAATTTGCTATAGTATACAAATATGAATTTTGTGTTTGCTATATGTGAAAGTTGCTCTATTTTTTTAAATAGTTATTTTTTAACGTAAAAAAATGCTTTTGAACTATTAAAAATAAAGTATGAATTTCATTTTATTTTTGACTAAATAGATTGTGTCAAAGATATAATAATCGTAATTTTCTTTCGCTTTTTTCATAAAAATATCATTACCGTTGTTTATTAAGTAAAATAGATATTCCTTGAACTATAAAAAGAAGAGTACTGTAATTATTCAATTTATAATAATATACTTATGAATTAAATTAAATAAATACAAAAACAAGAAAGAGAGGGAGGGAGTTAATTGAAGCAGGGATAAAATGGTAAAATGAGGACATGGGAAAGAAATGGTTACGATGCGAAGAGAAGGAGTGAGGTTAATGAAGGAAGTGGGGCCCAGAGAAGCAGTGTTATAAGTGGAGAGCAGTTATGTCGGAGAGTGCCGTATGCTTCTTCCGTATACGGTCCACTCCAACTCTCTTCAGTCTTCACACTACTATCACGATTCACGCCTTTTCAGGATTTATTTTATTACATTAAATAAATCACTTAGTATTCAAACTACTCAACAATACTCTATTGTGTGCCACATTCTAGTCAAAGTTTTTCAAATTACAATAATCATGATTTTTTTTAAAACTCGTACATATATTGCTCCTTTATCTGATACATAGCAAATGATAATAATACATAACTATAAACCAGATTCATTTTGATTTAGATTTGATAATTGAAATTTGAAATTATGTATTAATAATAACATGTGTACTAGATACATTATACACAACAAATGCGTAATGTATCTTATAGAGATGAAATGATGTATTCCGATATAAGAGAGAGAAGGAAAAATAGATTTTTTATAACTAATTCAAATGGTAGAAATTTTTAGCGATCATAATGTCTTATGTCACGTAATTACTTAATTTTTGCAAATAAAAAGCTTTTCAATTTTGTGCTCAGAAATTAAAATTATATCAAATGTATTAAAATATCGTTTAATTTTGTAGTCTGAAATATTCCACGTAAAAAATTGAAATTAAAATATTGTAAAAAAAAAAGAAGAAGTTGTAGTATTCTTTTTTAAACCAACAAAAAAAAAATCTTTTAAAGCTAATAAATATTAATTTACCTTTATCCTCCTCGTTCACTTTTGTTTATTCATTTTAGGCTTTGTATGTTTTTTTGAAAAACAATAATTAATATAAATACTTCATTATAATATTTGTATTAAATTATTAACTAATGTTCAATATTATTTATTAAATTATTAAAAATGACAAGCAAAAGTCCATTAAAAAAACGTCTTAATTCCAAGCCAATTAGCCAAACACAAAAATATACTGTCACACGAAATAATCAATATTAGTATATAATTAACCACCGACAATGTAATTAGAAAGTAGATCAATTTTTACTTGAACATTATTTAGCATTATTATAAAAAGGAAGATAACAAAATTGATTCTTAATTGCCACTTAAATCTCCATATATATGGATTTTGATCAGTGATTATTCCTTTTTCCCCCTTTTGAATAATTTGCTTGTGAAACTTATCTACTATAGTAAAAAGGCACTAAGGAAATTAAAGTGATTTAATGACTAGAGCATTCATGATTTAGATTATTACCTTTGTAGAAAGTAGAGGATCAAGCACTTGATAATTGATTTGCCGTGATAGTTTTGGACTTATCTCTGGAATTTGATGTGTTATTATCCCCTAAGTTATAATCAAATCGGTAATTAATTAGTTTTATGATTTTGTTTTGATCTCAGGACCTTTGTTTGCTTTGATATCATGTTGAAGTGTGTGATCATCTCATCTAAAAGCTTAAGCAGTTAAAGAAAACAATGTGTCAAGATTTTACTAGGTTGAATGTTTTTCCACATAAGAAGATCAATAAGTGATTCTTTTGATTTGATTGACCATTTATATATTTATCAACAATTAATAAGTAAAAAAATAACTCTACATATAGCAATTTAAAATTAAAAAATATTATTATTGTTTACATATATTTCGACATTATATAAAGTTTTCATCAATGATCTGTATTCCAGCGAAGTGGACCAAGTGTCATATCCGATTTCCTAATTCATGTCCGTATAATTATCTGTATAATCAATAATTAATTAACTAACTCATCCCTTTTATTAGATGAAGAATCGTACGGCCAGATCCTCCTAATGGTACTGGTTATGTACTTATTGTCCAATTTAACTCTCGATATTAAACTAACTAATCTGGCATAGGGATAAGAGTTATTTGTCAGTTAACCAAAAAGAGGGTTAATTAATTAATTAATATTAAGCAAGTGTTAATTAAGAACCCCACACGCATAACAATTTGCAGAGAAAAAAAACAAGCCATGTGAGTAGATGAATACGGTAAAGGTACGGCCTGGTGGTTTTGTCTGGTTATGTAACAGCCATAGGGCCTTACAATATTTATTTGTCCTGTCTAATTAAGATTTTGCCAAATCTTGTGATTAAGGGATTAATTACATAGGGGATTATACATTTAAGTGGAATCAGAAATGAAATATTGGTGGTTGGGACTAGAATAGAATAGGGTGGTGGGACATAAACAAACTTATGAGTGTATTTCTTGCCATTTTAATTGATCGTTATATCTAAATTTATATTTCATTTTTAAAATATTGAGTTAGATTGAATCGGTGCATCGAAAATCCTTCACGGGTGGGGGAGTATTCACGTAGTTCCAAGTTTTTGAATGTTGCAGCAACATGGCTTGATGATAGAATGTCACGTGCATTTACCGCCATGTGCTCTAGGTATGGCGCTCCATCTTTTTTCTTTTTAAATTTTAACGGAGATGAATTTATGACATAAAGTGAGTGATTTGTGTGATTTCAAAATTTTATATTACAAGCTATTTTTTATTTTTTTATATTGCTAGTTAGAAATATACAAAGTCATAAGGTGCAGAGATATATACTCAAGAGTAAGGGTGTGCACTATTCAAGTTAAATCGAATAATCAAATCAAATTTTTATTTGGATTGGTTTTTTGGATTAATAAATTACTTTGTTTGGTTTCGAATTTTAAAAAATAAAAACCGAAAAAACCGATATATATATATATATATAGGAGTTAACCAATTTTGTCCCTTTCTGGTTATTGTCTATCATGATGATTACGTTTATATTTTATGTTTGAACATCTATAATAGTCATACTTATAAGTATTGTGTTTTAAGTTTTACTTATGATTTATATTATAAAGTATATTTAAGAGATTCAATACTATTACTTTGGTTATGTTCTTAATGATTGACATAATCGAATAACCAAACCGAAAAAGCCAAACCGAATAGAGGAAAACCAAACCAAACCAATTTTATTTTGGATCGAATTGAGTTACACTTTTACAAAACCAAAAATCGAATAATGCAAAACCAAATCAAAAAATCAAATGCACACTTACTCAAGAGAGAAAATAGTGTGGCATTCGCTAGGCTTGATTTACTATC